GCGAAAATAAATTCCAACGGAAAAATAAAGTATTCTACAGTAGTAGCTTTAATTTTCGTGAATTTTGCAAGTTGGGGGAAAATCACCAATTTTGTAGTAGTGAGAATGTCTTTGCGATTACTATGACACTGATTCTCACAGACTTTTGTGAAATTTATTCTTCAAGAAGGCCATAAGGTCATCAAACTGTGACAAGTAAGAAATTAGTGTATAATCCACTTCCAGTTTTGAAAGTAGATTTTTTTAATCATAAACTTTTAGTATTTCAAGAAATTAAAGCAATAGATTTTAGATACAAATGCCCGCTGAGATTTTCGTTGAAAGTACGAGCTACGATTGTTTTTGCCACTCAAATAGCGTTTTTCGCTCGTTCATTGCTTCCGCTGTTTTCTGTAATCATGGTACTCCCAAGCAGTTATTCGACAGCCTTATGCAAACCCGAAGTTGCCACTGCTAGGAAGACTCATCATGCCACTGAATGCAGAAACTTTAGTTTGCAGCTTGTTGCACTTTTAATGTTGAAGTCAGAAAATAAAAATTACACTGCCCCCCCCCCCCCCCTGAGAAACACTTACCAGAGGTTACTCAACTGCATACTCAGTTTTGTTCTCAGTATTGAATGTAAGGTTATCATAAGGCGACTCATCAACTGTAGTCTCAGTGGCATTTTCACTAGTGAATGGAATATTATCATAGGGCACTTCCGGAAGTGGCCTGGAATCTAAGAGAAAGAAAACATGCATGCAACTCACCATGGGTCAATGCGGCATCAGTTGGCGTTGGTGATGGTAAATTTTGATAAGGGTGTTCAGTTGGTTCTACATAAGGTGATTCCTCTTTTGTTTGTAAGTCTTCCATACTAGCGTAAGGAGTGTGATCAGCACTAGTTCTAGGAAACACTGTAAGAACAGTTATATAGTAGTGCATTAGTGAATTAACAAGAAGTTAGTTTTTATAGAAAGTTATACACTAACAGTACAGGTTTTTGCTCTATGAGAAGTGCATCACTAAATATATATGTAAGCAAGAATATACAGGATGAGGATATGCAACTTTCCTACCCATGTATTGTGATATATGCGATGAAGATCTCTTGAGAAGGGAACTCTTGCTAACGTTTAAAAGCAATCCCATTCTATAAGCCTCTATTGAACATACTTCTAACCAATAATATCACAGAAGTAGTGGATGCTTAGAAATATTTGATTGCGAAAACAGCACACTCAAAAACTCAAAACACACATATTACACACATTGCAAATAAGCACTGGCAAAACAGTGTAAAAAGAACACAAATCAAATCTTTCATAGACTGAATAATTTGTATTAAGATTTCTAGAAATGTTGGTTTCTCTTGCGACTTTGTGATTATCTTGAAATTTGAAAGACTTCTTTATTGTGCGTGTGATCTTCATTGCATATCACACCCTTATCTTATCTTATATTCGTATTCAAAGTTTCATTTCAACTGGACAATTCATAATTAAAGAAATTACAATGTTTTTTTGTTTTTTTCATTTCCACTAAAATTAGTACTACATGTATAAGCAGAAGTATATAAATATAATGTGTGTTTAATAGTACAGACTATGGAGTGTATAGCTTGATTTATGGTGCCATGTTGGTGCCACACCTCTTAAAACTGAATGCAGTGAACTAAACAACATTTTAAGAGTGTTTGTTATTTAGCTTCATACAGGTTTCCATTATATGTATATGCAAAGTATGCAGTATGGAACTAAAATGACAATATCAAAACTATGAGTACTCTAAGTGCAGTTCAACTGTTGAGCTGTGAACACTATTACACAGTCTATAACTGTGATTTTTTTTAAATTTGTTACCAGTAAACCCCCCCCCCCCCAAAAAAAAAAAAAAAAAACGGAAAATCAATTTTTGTCAGAATCTACATCCTCTACTTACTGTCTTTATTTATTGGTTTGACGTTGTCCTTGGAATCAAAAAACTGATTGACATTCTTCTCTGCTGAAAGTGGAGAAGGCACCAAGTAATGATTTTCATACATATCTACTTCTGTAAAACACAATGAACCAACAATAAAGTTTAAAAGGCAATTATGAGGCATAATATTGTTGGATTCCATTGCTTCAGTTTGGAGCATTTTTGATGCACTCCATTCCCTGCCATGGGTGTATTATTCTCACAGTATTGTACATGTTCCACTCTCATACATATGTCAAAACAGCGACTTTATTCATAGTAGGTTGAAACAGCAATTTCAATATTTGGGCATGGACGTCTCCCTCCTCCCCCAAAGGTCTGAGGGGAAGCACATCAAAAAAGCAGGTGTTCCCAAACAAAGCCAAGACATGGAAAATGATTTGCTACTGTAGGTAAAATGGTATAATGTTGATACATCATTGTGATGTGTTGACTCAGGAACACACGAAACATCAAAGAAACCAGAGAGCTTTCAAATTTAACTTCTTGTTTATTCCGTCGTTTTCAGTTACCCCAACGGCACTACTTTTCACATATTAATAAACTCAGGTGATCAGGTGACATATAACACCATTACAAAAG